TGTTCCAATTATTACCAGAGCTTTAACTAGTTTCACTGGAAGCTCCTCTGGATTAATTCTTTGACCAAGTTTGATGTTGGCACATGACCATTACTTTATTACACTAGTATCTTGATTTATTAGAATTCGTGTGTTTATATCAGTTGATCGATCAAGTTCTGAATATCTTCATCTTGATAACGTTGTGAAGGATCCAAAAGAGGGGAATTGGTGGATGCAATTTGGGAGTGACTATGTTTTGGGATACTGGCCATCTTTCTTGTTCTCATACTTGGCAGACAGTGCTTCCATGATTGAGTGGGGTGGGGAGGTGGTGAATTCAGAACCAGATGGGAAGCACACCTCAACCCAAATGGGCAGCGGTCATTTCCCTGAAGAGGGCTTTGGCAAAGCAAGCTACTTCAGGAATGTTCAAGTGGTTGATAGCTCCAACAATCTCAAGGCTCCCAAAGGTCTTGGCACCTTTACCGAGCAGTCCAACTGCTATGATGTCCAGACTGGCAGCAATGGGGATTGGGGCCATTACTTTTACTTTGGAGGCCCTGGTAGAAATCCCAATTGCCCTTGAACAACTACCCCCAGCCCCACAAAGAAAAAACTAAAGAAAAAAAAAAGTAGCTACTTCCTCTGTATTATCCGATGTAGCCTCCTGCCTTACCCCCTCTAGATCTGTCTCTCTCTCCTCATTGTACACCACCACCATCCCTCTTTTTTCCATTTTGGTTTAGGTCGAGTTAGTAAAAATGCCACCTTTTCAGTAGTTGGAAGTTTTGTCCCTCTTGATAAGTAAAATTGCGGGGGAAGCGGCCTCAGTTTCTCAGAAGCTCAAAAGAAACAGGGCCTTTGTTAGTTTCTTTATAGCGGTTTGTTCCTTTCTTTCTTTCTTTGATGCTCCACTCTTGGGAGTGCTATTGTGACTAGAAATGGTCTGAGTGTAGTAGCCTAATTGCAGCCTAAATTAATTCTGCAGTACAGGAAAACAAGAAGAGTGTGTATGTGTGGAAAAGCTGTTTTGTCAAATGTGGATTCAAGTAGATAGATACGAGTGGTTTGATTACAATTATTGCTCCTAGAGATGCATGCATGCTTCTCGTCTCTGCATGTGAGCCGATGACATTCAACGTCACCTTTTCGTAAAGTGGCACTCCTATTCCTCCTATATATAGAAAACGATAATGCCCATCTCTCCGACAAATGACTGTTCATGCAAACGATAATGGCCATTGAAAAATCACCAGGCTATCGATCTTGGATTCGTGATGGAAGGAAAGAGTATATGGTGATTGATTGGTGGGTCTCATATTTTCTTCCGGCTGCAGGGGGGGATCCCAGTTATGCTGCCTGACGCATATAAATAATTTCAGTGGGATTCGTTTATGGTGGTGTGGGGTTTTAGTTTTTAGGGTATGTAATTGTTTCTGATCACTGATCAGATCGATTTTCATTCATGGGATATTGCTCAAACAAGCATTTATTAAAGCTTTGAATGTTATTAGTAATTGAATGTACGAGTTCCACTCCCTGCAGCAGCTTAGCAAGCAATAAAAATTGGTGGTTTTCTTGACAGTCGAAAAAATCTCTTCATTTTGTGCTGGGGGTGCGCGTAAATAAATCACTTGAAACGAATCACCCACGAATCACCCTGTCAAGGCAATATATGAAAGAGAAGCAGAGAGACTAAGAGGTGTTTTGAGTGCAGACAACTTGTTTGCAACAATTTCTTACCTCACATACATTAAATCGTTATAATATCTTTTTTTATAAAAAGGAACCAGACAGTAGGCAACAATTAAGGGCGGGGGTGGAGGGGGGTGGGAAGGCACAAACTATTTTAACTATGTATAATGCACATTCTTTGAACCAAATTCTCCGGGGCAATTAAATCCTACCCTACCCTCCTTCATCAAAGTTTTGGTTCTTCTTTACCGTATGGAAGGAAGGAAGGAATGGGATTCTTGTTGAAATTTAGTGAAATGAATGGTGTTTGTGCTATAAGTATTCGAGAACAAACATCAAATTCTGAAGAAGAAGGTTCTGATTCAGCGTCCGACCCTCAAAACTAATTAGAGGATTCCGGACAGCAACGATTAGCAAAGGCAACCACTGCATACCAAATAATATTCTACTATGAAACACAAATAATAATAATGATTCTGCAATCAATAATGGTACATATCGAAATACTGCCACATTGCATGTTCTGCTAGCCCTTGGCTTTGATGATGATTTCCTTCTTCCAAAGAAAACGAAGGGCTCTCTGGATCCACATTAATTCTCTTTCTCATCCAAGAATCAAAAGAGTGGATAGAAGTTGCATGCATTAAACTGATAGGGAGTGGGAATTAAGCTTCAGGAGTATTTATTGGGGTAGTTCCTGCGTACTCCAACTTCAAGATCTCTCCATGCAGGCACAAACTCAAAAAATTGTAGATGAAATATTGAATCTTATTTGTTTGAATCAACATAAGAAAAAAAATACGAAAGTTACTTTATATTGCAACAAAAAAAGAAGAAGATTAATACTAACTAAAAACTCATATATAAGTCCAACAAATCATTTACATGATATTTTTGAAACTTTAATACATTCAAATTTCATTTTATCATTGGAAATCATAACTTTTTTTTAAAGAAATTTTAAAAATCGAATACGGATCAGGTATCTAATTGATTCAATCCACATAACGCAGATACCCAAATATCTGGATAGATATCCGCATTAGCAGATCCGAATACGGATCACAAAATAACTGCTCTCCAAAAAAAGCAGTTATTATACGGGCTCTGATTATCTTAAAAAAAAAACAAAAGAAGAAAAGAAGACAAAATTTAGTAAGTGTATCTGACTTTCTTTGAACCAAAATCCAGCAAGCATAAGCACAAGCATACGGGCATTATTTCTGATGCGGATGGGATGTGCTCCAACACTTTAATCAGCCCACTCACTATAAGGCTACTGCAAAGCCTTGCATGAATATATTCTTATAATCAAGCAATTGAAGCGAGAATTCATGTCTATGTCATGTGGTTACTTCTTATTAGAGGTACTATCGAGCCGAGTCGAGAGCTCGAGTAGCACCGTACTCAAACTCGAACTCGATCAGAATCAGTGCTACTCGACCTCGAGTTCGAACTCAAACGAGTAAATATATTTGGACTCTAGCTCGACTCGATAAAATAAAATTAAACTCAAACTCGACTCGTTTGAATTCGAGTAAGCTCGAGTAAATATCAAACCCGATCTACTCGAGGTCGAACTCGAGTTTTGAAATAAACCTATAAATTTTTTCTCAAAATATATAATATAAATACAATATGAAAACTCGATTAAACTCGTCGGGCACTTGAGTATTTATTTTTGGAGCTCGAACTCGACTCGTTGAATATAACGAGTAGCTCGAGCTTGATTTGACCGAGTTCGAACCAAGCTTTTTATGAAGCTGCTCGCGAGTAGCTTGACTTGATTGCACCCCTACTTCTGATTGAGTATTTGGCGTACATGATTTTATTCTTGCTCACGTGTTTTCATCGTACTATTAAGAATCACACTTCGCATGAACTTTTTGTATTGTTTTGCTTGTCATTTGGGTTCCATAAGTGATAGTACTACAATGGTCCAAGTGTTAATTGTGATATGAGTTGCTATTGAATTGAACTCAAGAGTTTATAAATTTTGACAGTGTATGCTCTTGTGTTTCAATCTTCCTACTTTTTCCATACAAGATTGTTAGTAATTCATTCATATGTGCTTTTTCTAATGGCATGGCACAACCTAGCTGTAAGTAGGGGTTTCGGATCGAATCTGAATTAGCGGGTATTTGATGCATCGGATTGCATCCGGCTCAAGAAATTAAGCGGGTCAAGATGATCGGATTCAAATATAATTTTTTGTGATCCAGGGATATCCGATCTGATCCATGTGGTATATTTTATTTTTTAAGAAATTTTTATGCATTAAATCCACTAATTTATAATAATTTTATCTCTTGTTTCTTTTTTTTTTTTATATCTATGTCCTCTTTTTAAACTTGGCTTTCTTTGCATATGGTGTTAAGTTTTTAAATACATTATCATATGATTTGCTGATTAACAAAAATTGTAGATGAAATATTGAATCTTATTTGTTTGAATCAACATAAGAAAAACAAAATACGAAAGTTACTTTATATTGCAACAAAAAAAAGAAGATTAATACTGACTAAAAACTCATATATAAGTCCAACAAATCATTTACATGATATTTTTGAAACTTTAATACATTTAAATTTCATTTTATCTTTGGAATTTATAACTTTTTTTTAAAGAAATTTTAAAAATCCTATACGAATCAGATATCGAATTGATCTAATCCATATAACGCAGATACTCGAAATTACATTGGATTATATACTTCCTAAAAGATAAATGATAGTAAATAGGTAAATCACATATTCTTGCAATTATATGGATGAGGAAATTACTATAGTAAGTATTGATTAAACTTTCCTAATTTCATCCACAAAATCGAGTCCATTAATTGTGTGAGAATCTCTCTCATGAGTATTTTATTTATTTACTCTCTTTATTATTATTATTAATTATTTTTTTGTGGGTGTGTGTGGTAAGTTAATAATTAGCAAAATGTACTAGCCCAATAATCATGTTTCCGGGTACTTTGGTAATTTACCTCAAAATTCTCATTCTTGTCTGAAAACCTTTGTGCTCCTACGCTCAATTTGGGAGATTGGTCACACTCTCCCTCCCAGCCTCTCCATGCTTTCCCATAATTAAATCCTTGCCGTTGATGCTCGTATCTTACTTGAGCGTACCATCACGGTCCAGCATCTCGTTTGGACAAAATGTTCGGCACCAGACATGATAGACCTGGCTGTTACAATATTTTATTTCAGTTGTAGTAACATAAGTGAGGATAATTACATCAGCAGTCCTCCAGGGCAGGACAGGACAGGACAGGAGGTCTCACAGATCTTCTTACTATTATCCATTGAGCCTCAATTTTTCTTACCTTTACTCTTTTCTATTGTCTTCTCCAAACCTCTAACTTTTCTTTTTTTCTTTTTTGTTTTTACTTTACTGTGTGAACACACACATTTACACACACATAAGGTGGGAGTAGGGTTTAATTTCTCCATTGATTCTTGACCTGAAATGAAACAAGCCCGCATAATTTAGACTTCCAAGACTTGTTTTTTACTTGCTCCCCTTCCTCTCTCTAGACTTTCTCTGCCTAAATTCTTTGGAGCCCACTGGAGAAAACCCTAGCTTCAGTTTTTTTTTTTTGCTTTTCTTTTTAGGCTCAATTATGGTTTTGGAATTATTAGCTTAAAAATCTTAACTTTTGGAGCTGGGATTTACCAAATAATGCTCCAAATTGTGCCTGCCCACCGAGAACTTTGGCCATGACCTGCTCATTTGAGTCCACTCCACTGAAGTAAGTAAATGGCTCTCAAGTTTTCATCTTTTTTTTTCTCCCCTTTCTTTCTTTTTGTTGAATTAGAATTGTCTGTGTTAATTTTGCTATGTTTCTTTAGCTTTTGGGCAGTTGGTGATGAAGATTTTTACTCCTTTCTGGTGCTAAAAAGTTTTGATCTTGATGTCTATGGGATGAGCAACAAGTAGCCAATTTAGCATTTTTATACTTATCCCTTTTTAAGGAAGCTTTTGATCAATTTTTTTCCCCTTTAATAGAAGTTTGGATTTTCATGTGAATGTTGAATTTTTGTCATTAAAATAGCTTCATATGTTTTTTTTTTCCTGTTATTGGCAGTTGAGAGAGGAAAGGGTGTGTGGATTGTGGAAGGAGGGAATGGAGAGGAATGGGTTGATGTTGGCTTGTGTACTGTCCGGGACACTTTTCTCTGTTCTCAGTTCAGCTTCTTTTGCTATACTCTGGGCAGTCAATTGGCGTCCATGGCGTATTTATAGGTAATAATTGATCTAGTTTAAGTTTGGCATTTTCTCTTCAAATTTTTACTCTAGTAATTGCGTTCTTGATTCTTTGTGATCAAGTATTTATTATTGTTCCCTTTTCATTTGCTACTGTTAGTATGTAAAACCAAATGTACAATTATTGTTTGTGAGATATAGCTCGCCACGTGTTTAAAGTTAGCGGAAGACCGGTTTTTTGCTACATTGTGCCTAAGAAATACAAGTGAAACTTGAATTGCTGCCACTTACGGTTGCGCTCAGTTGAGTTATATTTTAGTAAATGTGGTCTTTTGGAAGTTGTTTATTACGCTGTAATAAATACCAGCTTGATTCTCTAATAGGCAAAGAAAAAATAACAGATCGTTGAGTGAACAGAAAAGGTGTGGAGGTTAGAACAGGAAATGCAAATAGATAGAGGTAGTAGACATTCTAATATAATGTTGCTATTCAATCGCTACAAATGTATCAATCTTGTGTTCGGTAAAGATTCCAATACCAAAACTCTGAACAGAAGAAACTTATATCTTGCACGTTCAAAATTGGTTGTCTGTCTAATCAGGGAGCCTGGAAGTCCACTATCTGGAAGTAAGATTCACTTCTAATACTTCATATTCATTTAAGCAGCATTTTTAAATGCTTTTCCAATGAGGCATTGGATAAAGATGTATGTGTTTCTCACTTGCTTATAAAGAACTTGGCTACCTTTTGCAAAATGGTGAATATAAGTGCTATAGTTTTCTTGCTGTATACACACTGGAGAGTTCGAGGGTCAGATATTAGTTATATTGCATTGTCTAGCGGTAGTTAATTATTGCTTATTCTCCTTTAGTCATGAATTTCTTCTTCAAAGTCTAGTTGGTGTTTATATTTCAAACGCACCTATTGAAGCAATTGGAATGAAAAAGGAGATGTTTTTATTGTAGAATGTTTGTTCATCTCACCAGGAAGGACATTTATATTAAGAATTTAACAGCAGTCCAGTTGGTTATCAGTTCATTGTAAAAAGGATTTGAGGTTGTTTTTCCTAGTTGCCTTCTTATATCAATTGTCTATATAATCGTAGATCATAATCCAGTTTGTCTATCTGGCTAGACTCGGAGAATTTTGGATTCACAGACTGCGATTGGTTCACAAGGACATATTCAACAGGATGCTGATAGCTTTTTAGAAGTGGTGTGATAATCATGTGGATAATGGTTAATTTTGTTTAGTCACTTAAGAAGCAAAAGGATAAGATTGGTTGTATCACGTCGTGACCTAACATCTTGTGGCAAAGGAAGGCACTCTGGGCAATTGTTTGGCTGAACTCAACGATAATAGCAGGGGTCTTTTAAATTTATGCCCTTTCTGAATTCTCAAAGCCACTCTATCCATTGCTGCTTAAGCTTTTTAATAATATAGGTTTTATTCTTATTGAAAAAGGCTGTAGTTAGATGGGGTTTTAATACATTTTGATGCTGGCATTGCTCCTCTGCCCTGTCTGTGTAGAGTTTCAAATTTTCAGATGAATATATCTCTCAGGTTTCTACAGCCCATGTTGAAGATGCTTGGCCTCTTGTATTTTTCACGGTATCAAACAGTGAAAGCACCAAAAATCTAATGTAGAGGCTGACTAATGTCATTGGTCTTCTGCCATGGCCATTTTTCTTTTCTTTGGTTTTAATTTGTCTTTTTATAGCTTTTGCTATTCCAATATTCTTTTCTGTCTACATTTTGTGGCTGACAACAGAATATTATTTTGCTTTCCTAAAAGGAAATCAGGTCATACAATTGCTAAGAAATTATCTCTTTAAGTGCACATAGAACGAACATTTGGTCCAAATCAATGCAGTAGAAAAGATTTGTCTGTACCTATCTGCTTGGACGTTTGTGTCAGAAATGCAACTTTCCGTTAATCTGACAACTTATTTTTGAAATATTTTAAAGTTGGAGTAAGATACCATCTCTTGAGATTTTGTAGGTAAAAATACTGTGTTTCCGATGATCTCTGACAGAATGCGAGCAATAGGTGTTTTACTAGCATTTATAATGGATTATGTTCAAGTTATTAGCATCCAGCTTGATCTATTCCCAGATTTACTTGAACTCCTAAGGAGTAGAAACTGCGTGATATCCTTAGGATTTCTGTTTTAAAAGCGCCTTATGTTGATTCTTTTGTGCATAGGCGCCATAGATTAGTTAGAAGTTGTGTACTGGTTCAATCTTTCACAAGTTGCTGAAATGAAAATGAGTTTCATGAGTGATTTAATTTTATGTACTTGTTAATTTTTTGCAATTTCAGTTGGATCTTCGCTAGAAAATGGCCTGGATTCTTGCAAGGGCCTCAGTTGGGAGTATTATGTGGTTTTCTATCCTTCTCTGCATGGATAATTGTCGTTTCTCCAGTTGCAGTGCTCATTTTGTGGGGATGCTGGTTGATTTTGATACTTGGTCGAGATATAATTGGTTTGGCTGTAATAATGGCTGGTATTGCTCTTCTGTTAGCTTTCTACGCAATAATGCTTTGGTGGAGGACACAATGGCAAAGCTCAAGTATGTAATATGTTGGTTTTATTATTTATTTCATGAAAAATTATTACCTTGATTGTATTATTTAATACAAGACAACTTACAAATTTTTGTATGTGTACAAGTTTTAAAGAATAATCAGGTTGAAACTCTCTAATTGATGAAGCGCATTACGAAGAAACAAAAAAACTAATTATTTTTTGGCAGACTCGTGCATTTTTTTTTCTCAAGTTAGTTGACTATAATTCTATAGCTTTTTAATCTTATCAGCATGATTTACACTTTACATGCTGACAACTCAATCATGCAGACTTCTGCACGTTCAGTTTTGCTGATCCGTCCAAAATAATGGTTTGCTTTTAAATCAAGGCTATTTAAAATATGTAGAACACAACATTGCTTGAACTTCTTTTTATTTATGAATTCATCTGGTTACTTGTATATTGGATGTCATGTGTCCTTGTCCCCCAAAAAGTGGTAAAAGGAATGAGATTTTACAACTAGATTCTGGAGAAGTTCTCTGTTTAACTGATATGTGTTTTAATGGGAAAGGTCTTCCGTTTTGTTAAAGGGTTGTTGGGGAATTGTTATAGTAGTGCACACCTTTTTTATTTTATTTTATTTTTTTTAAATGTCAGAATTTCATTGAAAAAGTTGGCTGAGTTAGCTTTAAACGTTCCACGTACATTTGCAGAATCAGACAACTTTTTTCTCTTGACATACGAGTACATGTGGTTATAAGTAGCATCAACAGGGTGAATACATTTGATTTGACTTGACATTATTTGAAGGTATAAGCCATCCAGTAGGGGTGTGGGGCAGCTATCAGACACGGTCTTTCTTTTTTGAAGGCCATACTTCATCTTCCACTTAACAAATTCCTACACTGTTGAATAGAGCTTCTGTGAGTGATGCAAGTTACGTTTGGTTGACTACCTCGGAAGCAGAGTCTTCTTTACCTTGCAAGTGATGAAGCTAGGGGTCAAGAACATATATCATGAGACAAATTACATGGATAAAGGAAGGGTTAAAAAAAATGAAAATATAGGAAATGAGGGGCATGTAAAACCAATAGTCTTATTATTATGTATATTTGGTGGTACCAAGCTGATAATCACTTTGAATACCAAGTAAAGGAGTCTGTTATCTTTTCCTCCAGATATGTCATTTTTTATGTTTTAAGTTTGACTTTTTCATCCAAATTCCACAGCATTTATGCATTTAATTGGATGATTTCAGTACAAAATATTCTTGTAATGGTTCTCCGTGGAACCATGTTATCTCTAAACACATCTTTTAGTAAAGAATATATCCTTCTGATGTCCAGAGTCCAAAAAATAGCCTTCCAGTTGTTATAGCTCTTCTAGTTTGTTGACTTAAGGCCTCCACAGGCTGCTGTGCATTTGAACTGTGATTTTTTATGTAAAATACGTGTCATAAGAGTCTCATGTCTTCTGACTTACATTATAACCACTTTCAGTTGCCTGTGAAGCTTTTTACAGTGCTCTAAATACTCATTTTAGATCATGGAGCTTATCATCCTTTTTAGAATGGAACTTTTTCTTGATTTCAGGAAATGGTAATGCAGGGTTTTCCTTCTTGTTCTTGTCAACAAAATGGCATTCGTTGCTTTATGTTTATGTTTTATCTTTGTAATTTAGCAATGATATGTGCTAATCATTAAACTTCGTCCTTGTGAAAAAGGGATTGGCTGACATACTGGAATTGATGCCTATTTTTGCAGGAGCAGTTGCTGCTTTTCTTCTTCTAGCGGTTGGTTTGCTTTGTGCATATGAACTCTGTGCAGTGTATGTTACTGCCGGTGCTAGAGCATCAGAACGCTATTCACCTTCAGGCTTTTTCTTTGGTGTCTCAGCAATTGCCCTGGCTATCAATATGCTGTTTATATGTAGAATGGTCTTCAATGGTGTGTTTTGCCACGTGTCTGAATAGTTTGATATATTTCTTCCTAACTCTTTAATTCCTCTGTCCTGCTACTTATAGATTCTTATACTATTGACTTTGACAGGCAATGGCTTGAATGTGGATGAATATGTGCGGAAGGCATATAAATTTGCTTACTCAGATTGTATTGAAGTCGGCCCTGTGGCATGCTTACAGGAACCACCAGATCCCAATGAGTTATATCCTCGGCAATCTAGGAGGCAAGTTCAAATATGTTATGCACTGTAGAGATTCTGTTGATTACATTTCAGTTCATTTAAGTTTGTATCTTGGCTTAAAGAAATGATGTCCTTCTATATATTCGTTAAATAATTCAAATGGATGCATGGTGTTTTGAATTTGCATTGAGGTCTTTAATGCGTTAACTGGTGATTATCAGATTCTTTTTCTATGTTGTGTTATCTTTACCTGTTAGAAGTCTTAGAGTAACCCATATTTTTGTGTTTTCTTGTCTATGCAGGGCCTTGCATCTTGGGCTTCTATATGTTGGCTCACTTCTTGTGCTTTTTGTATATTCTGTCTTATATGGTCTAACTGCTAAGCAGTCACACTGGCTTGGAGCTATTACGTCAGCTGCTGTGATCATTCTTGGTACATCAGCTTTCTGAATCTTGCTGTTGCTTCTTCTTCTTTTGACTCTCTCTCTCTGTATTTGTCTGCTGGTTTCTTTGGCAAGTTGCAGGTAATAAATGTTAAATTGCTCAGCTGTATGTCATCTCTTACTATTACTTTTTAACTCCTGTCAGATTGGAACATGGGGGCATGCTTATATGGTTTTCAGCTTCTTAAAAGCCGTGTTGCAGTACTTTTTGTTGCTGGCACTGCTCGTGTCTTCCTGATATGCTTTGGGGTTCATTACTGGTTTGTATAACATTTGTTGCTTGGCAAATCTCATAGAAAGCACAATCCGCTTTGTGGTTTCAATGTTTTGTACACATTTTTTTACAGGTATCTAGGACACTGTGTGAGCTATGCAGTTGTAGCATCTGTTCTACTTGGTGCTGCTGTTTCACGGCATTTTTCAGTCACAAATCCATTAGCTGCTAGAAGAGATGCATTGCAGAGCACTGTAATTCGCCTCCGAGAGGGTTTTCGGAAAAAAGAACAAAACAGTTCATCTAGCTCTTCTGATGGCTGCGGTTCAAGTGTCAAACGAAGCAGTAGTGCCGATGCTGGCCACCTTGGTAACAGTGCAGGTCCTTGCCCTGGTGATACTAGTGGTTGGAATAATGTTGAGGGGATCAATAGTGATAAGAGCATAGATAGTGGACGACCCAGTTTAGTATTACATAGCAGTTCGTGTCGTTCGGTAGTTCAAGAACCTGAAGTAGGCTTAATGAATGCTGATAGAAATTATGACTACAATAACTCTTTGGTAGTGTGTTCTAGCAGTGGCCTGGAAAGCCAAGTTTGCGAGTCTAGTGCATCAACTTCTATCAATCAGCAAGCCCTGGAGTTGAATTTGGATCTCTCTTTCCAGGAGAAGCTTTGTGACCCAAGAATTGCCTCTATGTTGAAAAAGAGAGTAAGACAAGGGGAACATGAAATTACTAGCTTATTGCAAAATAAAGGACTAGATCCTAATTTTGCTATGATGCTAAAGGAAAATGGGTTGGACCCAATGATCCTTGCACTGCTTCAGAGGAGTAGTTTGGATGCAGATAGAGACCATCGTGACAATACCGATGTGACAATAATTGAGACAAACAGTGCTGGCAACGTGCTGCCAAATCAAATTTCATTTTCAGAAGAACTCAGACTCAGAGGATTGGAGAAGTGGCTTCAATTCTGCAGACTAATTCTGCACCACATAGCAGGTACACCAGAACGAGCATGGGTCCTCTTCAGCTTAGTATTCATCCTTGAGACTGTCATTGTGGCCGTCTTTCGCCCAAAGCCAGTTAGACTCATAAATGCCAATCATCAACAGGTTAGATTGCTGCTACTTCCAAGAGCTTGCTTTATTATCAGTGCTATCTTTACCTATATGTTGTTGACATGTTTCTGGACATACTAATCAATTACGAGTTTGGTTGACAACTATAGTTTGAATTTGGCTGTGCGGTGCTGCTTTTGTCTCCTGTTGTCTGTGCAATCATGGCATTTCTTCGGTCACTTCAAGCTGAAGAGTTGGTCATGACATCAAAACCACGGAAGGTGCATATGATTTAATTTTGTTGTTTCAAGGGGTTTTCTTACCATTTAGGGCATTGCATTGCTGGATAGTATCATATCTAGTGCAGACCTTTTTGTGCCTATTACCTAGCGAATTAAAATATGCATCTTTGTAACTATGCTTGCCTTTTCAATCTAGTGATAGTGATAAAAAAAATTGTGCCTGCATCTATATTTCTTCTGCTCGCTGTCTGTTGCATAGCTTTGGCAGCATATACATTTTCATTTGAGCAATCAATAAGTTTGCTGTTTCTTCTGCACTGAGGTTTTAAATGTTTTCCCAGATTGTTTTAAGGAATAGTATTTTTCCTCTTTTCTCTGCAGTATGGCTTTATTGCTTGGATGCTGAGTACTTGTGTTGGTTTGCTGCTTTCCTTCTTGAGGTATAAACCCACTATGTTGCAGTATGGTACTGTTTTTTAAATTGAATGAGTTGCATATTTGATATTGCATAACTTTTTATGAATCATGAGTTGCATATTTAATTTTTTTCCTCTTCAAACTTGATGAGTTTCTGATTTTCACATGATTAATTTTGGTCAGACAATTGTGTTTATGAGATTGTCTTCTATCCGTTTTTCTGTGTCCTGATGTTAAAATGGAGCTGCTCTTTGTGGTTCTAAATTTCATATATATGGCTAATTGTACTTTAGTCAGAGCACAAAATGTAACAAAGTTGCTCATTACATGTTGCATCAAGACGTTTCCTAACACAGCTTTTGACCCTTACTGAGGTATGTTTTGGGTCTAAAGATTCTGAGGAGATTTTTAATTATTTTACTGCATTGTACTTAGGAAGCGTCCCTGGGCAGTAACAAAAAATGTAGTATAAGTGTGATTCTGCACTGCAGGATTTGAAATGGGTACCAGGTGTTGGACTCTGAGAATCTGTAACATATTCAAATTTGTTTCACTAGCCAGTTAACATGGCAACTCTGACTATAAGAGAACACCTGAATTTGCTAAAAGAAAGACAATTTAGAGAAGTGAGAAGTGGCTTAACCTCAAAAATGATACAAAGCAGTTACAATGTTTATTTATGACTTGAGCAATATTATAAACTTTGACTAATTAGCTGAGTAGTCCCCTAGTAAGCCTGACCAACTCATTTGGGTTGGGTGATTCTTATTCTGTAGTTGTTTGAAAGTAGAGATTCTTGTATATCATTAGGAACCAAAGAATATGAAAAATGTAATATTTTTTGAAAAAGAATTTGAAAGGTTTTTCTCAAGCTTTCTTCGCATATTTCATGCACAACCGAATATTGAAGCACCAAAAAGTGTAAATTGAGTCGGAATGTAGTTGAGGAAAGCTAAATAAAAAGAAACAAAATTCCAGAAAGCTTAATTATAATAAAAGTGGGAAACTCTTGTCAACTGCTTTGCTTGTCTTAATCATGCCTGGGTGATCTTCTCCTTTCCATAATTTAGTAATGGACTAGACCACCTAACATAATCATCTATTTATATCTACTTGTATATAGAGTAAACTGCAGAATAAAAGTTGAGTGACAGGTCTCTGGCCTAGAATTGACTCAACCAATCTCTTGAGATAATGATTGGGATGGCAGTATAGTAGAAAATATTTCACAAACATCTCCTCCCTCCCTCTCTTCTTTGTATCAGCCTTAGGACCCAAGGGCATAATGAAGTCAAAGCATCATTTTTCATGGGGAATGTATCTTTGAAATGATTTATGGACTTTATACAAGATGTTACTGAACTGCTGTTCATGATTCTAGCACATATCTCTGATTTGCTCAAGGTAGAGTTGTAAAATAGGTAAAAAGTTATAATCTCAGTAGATTGTTGTAAATTTTGGGTTAATGAAAGCAAACTTAAAAGGATCTATTTTTGTTTCATATCGCATTGCTAAAAGTAAATATTTGATTTGCATTTGTTAAAATTTATCTTTCATGCCTATTGCATGTCTTTGACTAGAAAGATTTCTTTTGTCATGCTTATAGAATGTTAATCTATTTGTACTTGGATCAAATCTGAATTTAGAATTATCTAAATTGTTCAAATGGAACTCTGGCTTCTTTCTTTTGTTCCTTTTCCTTTGTGGTGATGCAGTTGTAATTCCAATCATGAATGTTATTTGAACATTTTATTAACGTCTGTTCTTCAGCAAGTCGTCGGTTCTTCTTGGATTGTCTTTGACGGTACCTCTCATGGTGGCATGCCTGTCTATTGCCTTTCCTATATGGGTTCGCAACGGTTACCAGTTTTGGGTCTCCAGAGTTGATAATGCTGGTCATACAGGCACTCATCAGATTTTGGGAATGAAAGAGGTCTAGTCTTTTGCCTATTTGAATTTCTGTTTATGTTTTCCAGCAATTTGTTGTCCAATAAGAAGAAGAATTTGCTTAATCATTACAGAAGTGTAAGTAATGGTTGTTTCCTGCCTATTGTGTAGCATCTTGATGTGAGACTCGACTTTACTCTTATGTTCTACTTTTTGAATGATAATACACGCAATGATGGAAGTTGGTATCATTTGTTGAAAATGGCCTTATTGGAGATTGTCTGCTCTATTTTCTATTTCATTTTGTAGGTCTAAATTTAGAGTAACAACTTAATTATGCTTTTGCAGGGCGTTGTTCTTTTGATCTGCATTGCCTTGTTTGCTGGGTCTGTACTAGCTCTGGGTGCTATAGTATCTGCAAAGCCATTGGATGTTTTAGGCTACACTGGGTGGACTGGTGGAGAGAACAGCGGCACAACACCTTATACTTCATCTGTATACCTTGGCTGGGCAATGGCTTCGGCGATTGCTTTGCTGATTACTGGTACATTGCCAATTGTTTCATGGTTTGCAACTTACCAGTTCTCGCTCTCATCTGCTATATGCATTGGTACATTTGCTGGTAATGTCTTCATTGTCCTCTATGACTCTTTGTTCTCAATATGTTTTTTTCTCCCACTCTATATTGCTATTCTATTTCTTGTTAACATGTTTGTTTCTGTTCTTATGTTTATAGCTGTGCTTGTGGCTTTTTGTGGTGCATCCTACTTGGAGGTTGTAAGTTCCAGCGATGACCATGTTCCAACAAAGGCTGATTTCCTTGCTGCCCTGCTTCCATTAATTTGTATTCCTGCACTGTTGTCACTTTGTTCTGGTTTACTCAAGTGGTATGTAATTCTTTAACTCTGAGCAACAGACCTTACTAAGCTTGATTTGTTATAGCATTCCCTGATATTGGCATCTACACGAGTAAGTGAAAGTTAAGATTTGAATAAACTGGTATCTGCTACAAACCTCATTTGCAGGAAAGATGATAATTGGAAACTTTCACGAGGTGCTTATGCATTTATCTTCATTGGTCTTCTTCTATTGCTTGGTGCAATTTCAGCCATTATTGTAACAGTTAAACCATGGACGGTAAGTGAGCATAACATGGTATTGTTTCTTGCAGGTTTTCACCTTCTTGCATGTGCATAACATCTTTTTTTTTTTTGGTTACTTTCGGGTATTGCTACAGATAGGGGCGGCATTTCTTCTAGTTCTCCTCCTCCTTGTGTTGGCTATTGGTGTTATACACTATTGGGCTACAAATAATTTTTATTTGACAAGGGCGCAGATGTTATTTGTATGTTTCCTTGCATTCCTTTTGGCCCTGGCAGCATTTATAGTTGGATGGTTTCAAGGTAAAGACTCATTTCCATTTATCCCTGAGGAAGATCAGGCTTTATTACTACTGTTTAATCTTTTATCCTGACTTTGGGCTCTTCCTTTTTATCTTTGTTTCATTATTTCAGAGAAAGCTTTTGTAGGTGCCTCTGTTGGTTACTTCTCATTTCTTTTCCTTCTGGCTGGAAGGGCGTTGACCGTGAGTAAATTCTCATTATGGAATTCCAGATTGACGCATGCTATTCAATTTCACTTTCTCTTGCAAATCAGGGCTTTATCTATGCTGAAATGCATTTACTCTTCACTTCTAGATATTTTTCCGAATTAATTATTCTGGTACTAATTTCTTTTTCCTTTTGTTTAAAGGTGCTGCTTTCACCTCCTATAGTCGTTTATTCGCCAAGGGTATTACCTGTGTATATTTATGATGCGCATGCAGATTCTGGGAAAAATGTCAGGTATGATAAAGTATCTTCATTTTTGACATCAATTGGCCACTAATAATTTTGATTTCCTTCATATTTCTCCCAAAAATTGGCGTGTTTTGTATTTTACATGCGGCGGTGTTGTGGCTAAATTCACAGTGCTGCATTTCTTCTGCTTTATGGAATTGCACTGGCTATTGAGGGCTGGGGCGTTGTTGCTAGTTTGAAGATATATCCTCCCTTTGCTGGTGCTGCGGTTTCGGCTATTACACTTGTTGTGGCTTTTGGATTTGCTGTCTCTCGACCATGTTTAACTCTTGAGGTTTGCGCATTAAATCACAAATCTGATATGCATCCAACTAATTTTATCTTTGTATTGGTTTTCTTTCAATGTGCTCTTCCCTATTCATTGTCTGACACAACCTTTATAATCAGATGGTGGAAGATGCTGTTCACTTCCTCAGCAAGGAAACTGTAGTGCAGGCAATTGCTCGATCTGCTACTAAGGTGCTTTGCTTCTCTTCAGGCCCATTTTGTTGTAAATCCATACAGAATCCTGGGAATGTGCAACTCTAGTGGTCAAATGCTACTCACCATTATCTCCTTGGTCTTCCTTCTGATTCTGCGCTCTACAGTTTTCATACCCTTTTTGGATTAAGGAGCTGCAGTATTTCACTTGGTTATACTTTCTGAACATTCTAAAATGCAGTTATTCTGTTTTGTCACAAATTGCATAATGTGGGGACTGATCTTAAAGAAGGGTGGTTGGATTAGATTTTAGAGGATGTGGAAAATCACCTACTTCAGCAAACTTATGATAAACATGCACTGAAGTTTTCATCAATTATTTTGCTATGCGAACTACTCCGTGTCTGCTAAGCCTTGTCTTTTTAGACAGGAAAATACACAGACACACAGAGTGTGTCCACATTAATGGGTTTGGAAATGTGGATCTTTAATGCAATTCAGGCTATATCATCAGTATTTGTTTACAGTTATTCATGCTAAAGCATGAATCATAAATCTTGATACTTTTTGTTGCATTTTAAGATTCTATCTAATTATCCTCCTCTAGATTGGTAAGAGATGTGAGACTTGCAAGATATTGATCTGGATTGTGTTTGTTGGGATTGCTTGAATGGTAATCATGAGTGCTAGTTGTCTGGTGTGCTTCTATTGTTGAGCTAGTACAGTGTGTGTGTCATAGTTGGTAAGGGATCAGACCATGTGATTACTAGCAGTGTTAAGACTAGGAGCACCTTAATTCTAATTTATGGTGGCCAAAAGGCAGGAGAGGCTGTATGATCTTAAATATCGTTTGGACATTGATATGCACAAGAGATTGTTAAATAGGCTCATCTTCACTTGAGTGGATTACAACTTGTTCTCTCTGGCAAAAGTTTTAGGGTCATCCCTTTAGGCAGTCAACGTAACATTGTTTAAATTTTTGGAATAAATTTTCCTTGTGTTATCTAGAGCACAGTGTATTTTGGATAATAATTAGAGTCATTTTTCTTAATTGCAGTGATATTCTTATTTGGCAGGAGTATGGATCATTACTTTTCCTATGCAGTCATGTTTTTTCTGGTTAAAATAATTTTGTAATTTTTAATTGTGCAAGACTTTTGCTAGAAATTTGCTGTTTCAAAGTTGAAGTTGTTTAACTCATGGCAAGACTTTTGTAATTTCTAATTGTGCAAAACTTTTGCACGACTTTTTCTCATGGCATTTTAACCATATGAAGTTTGAGTTGTTTTTTGTGGCGTAATAGGCAAAAAGTGTTTGTTGTATAGCTTGTTCTTGCACTAGTCGTGATCTGAGATACTTGCATTCTTTATGCAGACCAGAAATGCGTTATCTGGAACTTACTCTGCTCCACAGAGGTCTGCCAGTTCAGCTGCCCTTTTGGTAGGAGATCCTACTGCAACACGGGATAGGGCTGGCAATTTTGTGCTTCCTAGAGCCGATGTCATGAAATTGAGAGACCGTTTGAGAAATGAAGAGCTGATTGCAGGATCATTCTTCCGTAGGCTAAGAAACAGGAGGATACTGAGGCATGATGCAGCCAGTGATATAGGACACAGAAGAGAAATGTGCGCACATGCCCGAATTCTAGCTTTGGAAGAGGCAATTGATACTGAGTGGGTCTATATGTGGGACAAGTTTGGTGGTTATTTGCTTCTTTTGCTTGGTTTGACTGCCAAGGCTGAGCGAGTGCAGGTGATTTTTATAAGTGGCTAGAATGCTTAATTTTCAAGGTTATATGCTTATTTTTGCTTTTCTAAATCCTGTCTTTTCTCCTTGTCTTTCAGGATGAAGTTCGCCTAAGACTTTTCCTTGACAGCATAGGATTTTCAGATTTAACTGCAAAGAAGATTAAGAAATGGCTTCCAGAAGACCGTAGACAATTTGAAATCATACAGGAGAGGTAAATCCTTCCTTTTTCAGCAGGTTATATGCTTCTAATCTTTCCAGCAGAGTTATATCCAGTATTATCTCTTCAAGGCCTGATTTATACATAAAGCCATAATAATCCTAGTAATTTTGTAAATATACCTTGTTTTGACATGTGCAGTTATATAAGAGAGAAGGAGATGGAAGAGGAAATGTTAATGCAGAGACGTGAAGAGGAAGGGAGGGGTAAAGAAAGGAGGAAAGCTCTTCTGGAAAAGGAAGAACGGAAATGGAAGGAGATAGAGGCTACTCTTTTGTCATCAATTCCTAACGCTGGGAATAGGGAGGCAGCTGCCATGGCAGTTGCTGTGCGTGCTGTAGGAGGTGATTCTGTCCTTGATGATTCTTTTGCACGTGAAAGAGTCTCAAGCATTGCACGTCGCATACGGGCAGCTCAATTATCCCGTCGGGCACTTCAGGTTGTCATTTTTTTCTACATGTACTAGTATCTTGTTGTTTAGACAATATCAGTTATATCTTTGGTGTCTACAATAATCCTCATCCTTTTTGTCGTTGATAAGTTGAAGAGGATTTTGTTCCTTTGTTTTATCTGTGTGCTTGTTATATGTATTGAATGCTTTGGTAAAGCGGCCTGGTCTTTGATTATTTTGCTGATACTACTGAATAGAAATTGCTGATTGAATATGGTTTTTAATTTTTTTTCTGTATATTGTGGTATAACAGACGAAAATTACTGGTGCTGTTTGCGTTCTTGATGATGAACCCACAACAAGTGGCAGACACTGCGGCCAGATTGATCTTACCCTTTGTCAGAGTCAAAAAGTTAGCTTTTCTGTTACTGTGATGATACAGCCTGAGTCTGGGCCAATATGTCTCTTGGGAACTGAATTTCAGAAGAAACTGTGCTGGGAAATTCTTGTGGCTGGTTCAGAACAAGGCATTGAAGCTGGTCAAGTTGGGCTTAGATTGATTACTAAAGGTGATAGACAAAGTACTGTGGCAAAGGAGTGGAATATAGGTGCTGCAAGTATTGCAGATGGAAGGTATGTATCTCTGCAAATGGCTCTGTTTCCATTGTTTTTTTTTTATTCTTTTGGGCGCCCTTTTCTTGGGGTGGTTTTTTTGGGGGGGAGGGAAGGAGGGGCTTTGAATTGACTTTTGAAACTGAAGTTTACATCATTACAAATGCTTTTCTGCTTTGCCTGGACTTTCCTTCTTACTATGAAACATTGTGTTGCAGGTGGCACATTGTAACAATCACCATTGACGCTGATTTAGGTGAAGTGAATTGCTTTTTAGATGGTAATTTTGATGGCTACCAGGCAGGACTACCGCTCTCTGTGGGAAATGGTATATGGGAGGATGGAACAGAAGTTTGGGTGGGCATTAGACCACCCATAGACATGGATGCTTTTGGGAGGTCAGATAGTGAAGGAGCTGAATCCAAAATGCACATAATGGATGTTTTCCTCTGGGGAAGGTGTTTGACTGAAGATGAGATTGCTGCGCTTGCTACTGCTATGGGTTCCGCTGACTACAACACAATTGATCTTCCTGATGATAATTGGCAATGGGCTGATTCTCCTTCCAGGGTCTGATATTTTGTTATATTGCTTCATACTTGTCTATTCAAATTTTCTATTCCTAATATCTTCTAATGTAACACCATTCTCTGTGTTTTATCTTTGTTAATTTGTTAATTGATGATTTTAACCACTCTGCTGAGTTCTCTCTTGATGTTCTTGTCTCAGGTTGATGAATGGGAGAGTGATCCTGCAGATGTGGATCTTTATGATAGGGATGACGTAGATTGGGATGGGCAATACTCAAGTGGGAGGAAGAGGAGGTCAGACCGTGATGGGGTTGTAGTGGATGTGGATTCCTTTACTAGGAGATTGAGGAAACATAGGACGGAGACCCATGAGGAAATCAATCAGCGGATGCTTTCAGTTGAGTTAGCTGTCAAAGAAGCTCTCTTGGCAAGGGGAGAGTCACAATTTACAGATCAAGAGTTTCCTCCTCATGATCGTTCCTTGTTTGTCGATCCTGATAATCCCCTTTTGAAGTTGCAGGCAACTTCTCTCTCTCTCTCTCATGCGCAGCTTCTTCTTTCTCTCTCTCTCCCTCTCTCTCTCTCTCTCTCTCTCTCTCTTAAATTACCAAACTTTGTTCTTTAGGTTGTGTCTGAGTGGATGAGGCCCACTGATATTGTGAGGGAGAAGCAGCTGGACTCTCGACCATGCCTATTCTCAGGAGCTGCGAATCCCTCAGATGTTTGTCAGGTATGAAGGAAATTTGTGAGTGCAAGTAATCCTTCTATATCCCTCCGCTTTCAAGGAAAACACACAAACATGTGCATCTTGTTTATTGAACGTGTTTAGCTCTTAGTCTCCATGCCGTATGACTAAGTTTGTTTGGACAGGGCCGACTGGGTGATTGTTGGTTTTTGAGTGCTGTTGCTGTGTTAGCCGAGGTTTCGCAGGTGTCAAAAGTTATAATTACACCAGAGTACAATGATGAAGGAATCTATACAGTTCGCTTCTGTATTCAGGTAATGTCACTTTTTGTTGTTGATCTAGTTTGGCCTTTTTGCTACCTTTTGTGATAAAACCTTGGTGATTATTTCATGGGACATAAAACTTATAGCAAGTATCTTTATCATGCACAGAATGGTGATACTCCAATCGTCCACCTGACCACTTGTTACATGTGTATCACTTTTCAATTCCCGACCTTTATTAACCATGAATGTTTCTTTGTTCTTGTTTCTTTAATTTCAGGGGGAATGGGTTCCTGTTGTGGTGGATGACTGGATTCCATGTGAATCACCAGGTAAACCTGCATTTGCCACCAGCAGGAAGCTGAATGAGTTATGGGTATCTATATTGGAAAAGGCATATGCAAAGCTTCATGGTTCATATGAAGCATTAGAAGGAGGGCTTGTTCAGGATGCTCTTGTGGACCTCACTGGAGGTGCTGGCGAAGAGATTGACATGAGAAGTGCTGAAGCTCAGATTGATCTTGCAAGTGGAAGGCTATGGTCACAATTGTTACGCTTCAAACAAGAGGGCTTCTTATTAGGTGCTGGTAGCCCTTCAGGGTCAGATGTGCATGTGTCTTCAAGTGGAATTGTTCAGGGGCATGCTTACTCAATATTGCAGGTATTAGTCAACTACCTTGTAGATGAAGATTCTTTTGGTACCAGTCAAAACCAATTGTAATGTAGTTCGTTCTATTTAACTTATTCCTCAGGTACGAGAAGTAGATGGCCACAAGCTTGTTCAGATCCGGAATCCATGGGCAAGTGAGGTTGAATGGAATGGCCCTTGGTCTGATTCATCATCAGAGTGGACTGATAGGATGAAGCACAAACTCAAGCACGTCCCACAGGTGAGCCCTTACTCTATTTAACATTATCAGTTTGTCATGAGATTTTTGGTTGGTTTGCACATATGTCGCTGCATACATACGAAAGCCTTAGATTTTTTTCGATGAAAATTGGTCATGTCATTTTCCTTCAAACAGGCAAAAGATGGTATATTCTGGATGTCTTGGCAAGACTTTCAGATACACTTTAGATCAATATATGTTTGTCGTGTCTACCCGCCAGAGATGCGTTATTCTGTCCATGGCCAGTGGCGAGGTTATAGTGCTGGTGGCTGCCAGGATTATGATACGTGGCATCAAAACCCACAATTCCGATTAAGGGCCACTGGGCCTGATGCATCATTTCCCATACATGTATTCATCACCTTAACTCAGGTGCAGTTTATATTTTCCTTTTTGATTTTTGGAGGTCATGATAAGTTGTCTTTTGTTGGCTGAAGGCAAACTGACCTTCTGCATGGCTATCTTTAGGGTGTGAGCTTCTCAAGAACAACAGCTGGCTTCAGGAATTATCAGTCTAGCCATGATTCGATGATGTTCTATATTGGGATGAGGATACTGAAGACTCGTGGTCGTCGTGCTGCTTATAATATTTACTTGCATGAATCAGTCGGTGGTACAGATTATGTAAATTCCCGGGAAATTTCTTGTGAAATGGTTCTTGATCCTGATCCAAAGGGTTACACTATAGTGCCGACAACAATTCATCCAGGAGAAGAGGCACCTTTTGTCCTTTCAGTGTTCACGAAAGCCTCAATCACCCTTGAAGCCTTATAGCATGCAATGACTACCCTTGGGTGTTTTTGTATACTTTTGGGTTCAGAGCTCATGTGAAATGATTGGCATTCTGGCTTTGAGAATGTCCACAATTGTGAGCTGGCAGAAAGAAGTCAAAAATGGTGGTGGATTGCATATGGTAATTTTCTTACAATGAACATATATGTCCTTTGTCCTTTCTCCTCAGATTTTTGGTAAACAGATACTTCTTCCTTTTTACTGGTTACTACTGCCCTTGAGGGAGCCCCAGATTGCACTAGTAGTTCTTGTTTTCTCAGCTTCACTGATTATTTGCTATCCTGATTGTTATAATTCTATAGCCGCCTTGTTTGTTCCTTTTTCTACTCCTAAAGTATCAGAAACTGACATAAGATGGTTTTGGGGGAACAGAAAAAGAAGGATTTGGTTGATTAGAATAGGTTGAGGACTTTCAGGTTCCCATGCTTGTGTCTCCTTTGCTGTTGTTTTAATATTTGTAGTTTGTTTCTTTACAAAATTTGTGCTCATTTATCTTTTGATTTGTCCTTCTCTTTGGCCTGTATTGATGTAAGAAACAGTAGCAAGTTTCACCAAAGCTTACTTGTCTTTCTACATTATTCAGCATACATAAGCTAAACCATATAAAGCATTGTAGCAGCATAGTGAAATTGTTTTGTGGACATTTATTATGTCTTTAAAGTTTATCTGAAATTTCCGTGTGATTCTGATTTCAGCTGGATCGGCGGCGGCTTGTGATTCAGTCTTTGGATTGTTAAAGCTTGCTTTCAACTTGTGGATTCTGCTTGGGCTGCAATTTATTGGATTAATACTATCAGCTCTGCTTTTCTGCTTGAGATTTGATCTGCTGAATTGAGTGAGGGGAGGGTCCTCGGGGATCAGGAAATGTAAATGGGTAGATGTTGTAAGAATATAGAATCTAATCATGTAAATGAGGTTTAGTGGAAGAATTGCCAAAAGAGATAGGGAATTAGGTATATGTTGTTAAAGGATAACTGCTGAGGAGCAACGTGGCTGAATTCGGTTTGGGGATTCTGCTGCAATTTTGGAAATTGCTTGATAGGTAACATGAATTGTACATAAATCTTTTTTCCTTGCTATGGAAATGGAACCTCCCCATTTATATTCTTTTATCTATAAGAGTCCTTTTATTGGTAGAAATCAATGGCAGTCATGCTATTTGTTTGTTTGTGTGGAGTGGAAATTGCATTCTTTCTTTAGCTAATCTTGTTGCATTCTTCCTTTAGCTAATATTGTTGCACTCTCTCTATCTCATCTTGTCACATTGGGTGGACAAGAAAATTTGGGTGCTGATGGGGGTTCTAGTCTTCTAGACTTGCATCTCTGTGTCATCTACCTCTCCGGATGGAAACAAGATATGATTTTTAGATTCCAAGCAAAAGAGAAAAAAAATGGTTATTTTGCAGAATTCTCCTTGTCTCCATCAGGAGTCAGTACCCGAGGGAAAAGAATTGATGGCATGTTTTAAGGGTCTTGGAATATAATAAAAGTACGTATATATGTTGCCTGATAGGTGCTGTCTGTGGCCAGTGAGGGATGGCACCAGAAGCTGCCTCCCAACATTTAAAGAGCTCTTTATTATTGTAGTCTCCTCTTTGTCATAACTTTTGTTTTTCCAAGATCCATCCTGAAGAGAGCAAGCCCCATCCCCAGTCCCCACCCACCACATTGGATCAAGTCAAAACCTAACTTCTTATCCTTCCCATTGATCAGTAATTAGGGTAGTAATTAAGTACCTAGTAGAATGTAGCAACAGACAAGTTTTGATTGCTGTGAAAGATGTTGGGAAGAGGTCAACAACAGCTGTGGAGATGACCCTTCAGCATATTGAAGAGAAAAAAAAAAGGTGCTGGCTGTATTTGTACAGGGATGAGGAAGGGAAGATCCACAACCATTCATGATTCACCCGCCTCGAAATGAAGAAGAAACAGCATTCTACCATCATCAAAGGTTCAACAAAAGAGCATCAAAGTTTTCATTTCCCATTAATACAATGCAATCCGCCACCTCTGCTCTGCCAATTTCTTTTACAGCCTTGAAACAATTCATTGATTGGTCTCTTTGGGTCACCCTCACTCCTGCTGCTGCTAGTGTAGTAGCACTTTCACAATTCAAAATTCAAAGTTGGAACAAGAATTTCAAGAATCATTCGGAATCGCTTTCCATGCTTCCCATGGCCTTCAGTCCCCTAGGTTTCTGCTCAAAATGAATGCAGACACAGGAAGTCAATTAAGCTTTTTCGAAAACGAAGTTAGTAGTACTTTACTGGAAGAAAGATGGAAGAATAGGGAAAATGCAAATACTAGTACCTACCTTTTTAGAAGTCTTCTTCTCTCTGACTTCATACCGCTCTTGGCACAGTTCTGACAACCACGTACCAGGACTCACCAACTGCGCAGTCATGAGGGAGATCTTTCCAGTTAGAAAAAAGCAATGCTAGCAAAATCAAGAGGATCCCAGATAAGAACATACAACTAAATTTTGTTGAATTCAGAATTTATCATGAATGCATAAAAGGAACTTACGAGCAAAGTTTTCTGTATTAGCTTGGCCCTTTTCTTAGGTCTTTGAGGCAGTTTACACCCTTTCATAGCCATAAAATCTTCCTCTTTCTCTTTATTTGAGAGTGTCACTAGTAGTTTTGGCCAAACAAACTTTTTCTTCTCCTCCTTAGCATCCACAAACATCTTATGATTCTCATCCAAACCAACCGATCCCCTCGTCGTGTAATACCGGTCTTCTTTCTCAGGAGACAATGACATTGATGCCTTGCGATTCTCGTTGCCATTGGATCTACTCATTCCTAAATCCCTGTGTCAACAGAAAACCACCCAAAACTAAGCCCTTCCTTGTTTTGTGACTGAAAAGAATTTTAGTTTCCAGACAGATTCCTCAAAATGATTTTGGTTGGTGAGAGAAGACGAGACCTTACATTTGCACTCAAGTTGGTTACCATCTGAAGCAACTTATCCTTTTTATCATGTCACTTTACCTCACCAATCATGAGCATAATTCCCAAAGAGAGTTTGCACTCAACAAAACCTAATTTGATGTCCTCACTTTATCTTTATTGCAACGCTGCTTTAGAAATTAGGATGTCATCCAACAACCAAAACACTGATCTACTAAAGTTTAGCAACCAAATTCCTAATCAATTTGAGCACTGCAGCATTTCTAGATTCATTCCTTTCCCATGAACCATATCATATCAAAACCAGAAATTTCCCTCTATAATTGATTAACACCACAGAAAACACACACATGACAAAAAATCTAAAATAAGTTCTGAAAATACAGTGCCACAGCACACAAAATAATGTTCGATCAAGATCTCGACTTTTTTTTTGTTCCCCCTTCAAGGAGAACTCAACCTTAGTATAGGACAACAAACAATGTTTATCCTAATAGGATGTAATTAAAGACTAGAAATCTGATACACACAGTTGTTACCTGTTGTTGATGCGATGGGGAGAAGGAAGAGGAGGAAGAGAAGCATTATGCTGAGGTTGTGCTTCTTTGTTGTTGTTGTTACAGCTATCAGCAAAGCGAGATGTGATTTTCTTCTTGACCACAACAGCACCATCTGATTTTCCATTGATGGAAGTTGACGCTGCTGATGATGAGTTGTTCTTGTCTTTGACCTTCACACATCTCAGCCTCTTCCTATTTCCCCACTGTAATCTATCCATCTCTCTCTCTGTATTCGTGGTATTTTATTTTCTTCTCAGCAGCAATCCCTTTTGCCCCTTTCTAATAATGGATAGATGTATCTGCACTAGCAGCACCTGCAAGAAACAGAACCCACCACCAATCTACCATGAGACGTTTAAAAGCCAATATTGGCATATATTTGCATAGAGAGAGGAGGACCCATGAACATACCCGAGAGCACAAAGATGTAAGGTAGAATTAAAATACAGCACCCACCTCAGGATCTGTAAATACACTTGCAAACGATGTCCCGAACAGCCAAAATGAAGGCCCCCTCCTGCATTGGAGTCTTCCATTAGAGATACAATCAGACTGCAAAAAATACAATCTCAGAGCACAAAAAGTAAAGAAAAAATAAAATTGAGGAAGGAGGAGGATACTTACATACAAGGAAGAGAAACTGAGAAAGATGGGATTTTGGTCGTGGGAAGTTGCAACAAATTGCATAGAGATACCAGGTGGTGGTGGCTGTGGTGTTTTTAAGTGTTGTTTTTGTGGAATAGCTAAGAGAGAAACAAAAGATGTGTTTTGAGGTTTCTTGGCTTGTTTTTGTATCCTAAGACTTTTTAAGTTTTAACTGCTGGCTTTGTTTGAAACTTGGATGTTACTCTCACCAGCCACCACTCTCACTCTGCCTTTTTTTCTCCTCTTTTCTTTCCTTTTACTACTAATTCTCTACCCTACTGACTACTACTACATCAATGAATTATACACAAAGCAGAACTCCAAAGCTATTCCTTTTAGTCTTTTAGGCCCAATCAATCTTCTCTGCCTCTTTTTTTTTTTTTTTTTTTTTTTTTTTTTTGTTGGTTGTGGGTGTTATCCTCAGAGACAGAGTGGTGGAGTTATGATTTGTGTCAATTGGGGTGTGGTATTTTTCTTCCTTTGGCATGTGCTCCATATTCATATTGGTGGTCTGCCTGATGAGAAGAGAAGAGAAAGTAGTGGCACTAGCAACTAGCAAGTAGTAGTAATAACTTCTACTAAGTCACACTCTCCATCATTTGTCTATATACCATGTGGTTTTTTGTTTTGGGTGTGAAAAAGAAAAAAGAATAAATCTTATATACACTGATGGTGCATACACACTATCACGATTAAATATACGATACATATGCAAAATTTGAGTTTCAAATTCAAATTTAAATGGGTAAAATACAAGGAACCCCCTTGTCGTTTCGCGAAAAAACATCTTACCCCCCTATCGTTTAGAAACCCCCACATAAACACTTAAACTTCATAACTAAAGCGGAAATTGAAACTGTAACCGGCCGTGCAACCTAGTGACATGGGTATGCGAAATTCCTTTGAAAAGATCTTGAGTTTCATTCTTAGGGAAAGAAAAAGCCGCTTCTCCCATAAATTATACTGGAGTAACTTTTTTGCCATTAGTTTTCTTTCATTTTATCTGATACACTGGATATCGTCCATCAAAAACTAATACTGTAAAATTTGATATAGTTTGGAACAGGAGCTCAGCAATTCGTGGGAAATCAAAGCCACTCCTACGATTCTCTTCCTCAGAGATGGCAAAATGGTAGACAAACTCATAGGTGACAACAAACAAGATCTCCAAAAGAAGACAATGGCCATTGCTGAATCTTGTTCAGATCTGACAACCCCATGATTGAGTTGCCTGTCTTCTGAATGTCTAAGGCGTATATCAATTTTCTTCAGCAATTTTGATACTCTAAAATCGGATCTCAGAGAATAAGGTGATCAATTTTCTTCAGCAATTTTCTTCAGCAATTTGCTGAATCGGATCTCAGAGAACAAGGGATCAATTTTCTTCAGCAATTTTCTTCAGTAGTAGTAGTAGTAGTAAACACAGAATTGAGTGCCCACTCAATTATTGATTGGGGATTTTTGGAAAAAATTTAGGAATCCACTCATAAGGGGAGTGGTCATGCCGCTACAGATGAGGAGAAGAATATGGCCTTCTGCCTCGAGATTGAAGCTATAGCTGAGGAGATTGCCCAGAAACTTATTCGTTTCCATGAAGAAATGATGGTAAGAATTCCTAAACGAATTAGCCCTTGATTGTGCAACAAAAACCAAGCGCTTGATTGCTGAAGTTGAAGAAGCGCTTGATTGCTGAAGTTGAAGAAGCTCTTGACCATGTCTACTTGATGCAGTCCGAAGGGATCAGCAGCAGCAGCAGTTCATTCCGATTCCAACTCCTCTCTCTCCCATTTCTTGATGTCTCCTTTTGCAATGATTTATTTGCATATGTACTATCAACTATGTCCGCAATCGAGACTATGGTTAATCATTATCATGTATGGGACCATTTCCGTTCCTTGATGATAGTGTATCTGACACCCGATGATACCTTGTTTGATTGCCACAATATATTCATCATCATTATCATGCCAGTGGACTGCAGAGTTTTGATGCTTGCATTGGCATTTGATTCAAAGTTCCAAGGCAAAGCTTTCAAGCTTACGTTTCTGGATATGCATTGGATTGTCAATTCCCACTAATTTAGCAGGCCACGGGTTAGATGAGGGTATTTGACCTGCTGCCGGTAACTCAGCCGGTTCAAAAGGTAATTTCCACTTTAGTTATGAAAGTTAGGGTGTTTATGTCGAGGTTTTTAAACAATAGGGGGGGTAAGGTGTCTTTTCGGAAAACCACAAGGGGGTTCCTTGTATTTTACCCAATTTAAATTATGTGTTATGCATCTAATGATAAAAGCGTATATACCGTTAGTGTATAGAAAATTAATCCAAGAAAAAAAAATGATTATTGGTGTTTGTCTTTCAAAATAGGGGTAAGAAAGATTTGATCCCTTTATTTTTAATTCCTTTTTTTTTTGGGGACGGAGAAGGAGTAAATCTGGACGGACGTTGGGGGGTTTAATGAAGGGTTGGATGCGATTTCCCTCCAACTGCGTGCCGCCCCCATGCCCCTGGAGCGTCCGACAATTTTGGGACTTCTTGGACTTTGCTCACCTGACTCTCACGTGCTACTTTTTTTCTTTTCTTTTCTTTCTTTTTCTTTGACTCTTTCCTTCAGTTATTTTTGGGCCCAAAATTTGTGTATTCGTATTATTATTTACTATAGATGGTTTCCAAAAAAACACACACACACACACAAATGAAAAGAAAAAGAAGCCTATAGGGGGGATGAGTTGCATTTTGGTTTTGCTGAGGGGCACATCTGAAATTATGCCCACGAAATAAATAAAGGGAAATATTATTTGCACTTGCATTTTTGTTAATCACACTCTCACTGTCATTTTAATCATATAATTTTCATTTATTAGACGGCGAGATAAAACAAATGATGAGAGTGCAGATAACAAAAAATGGGGCGTAACTAACATTATTGTTTTTGAAATAATTATTGATTTAATAATAGTAATAGATGTAGGAGTAATAAAAGTCCAGTGCAAAATTTGATTGGTCTTTAATATTAGTCTTTGCTTTCCTTCAAAAAAAAAAAAAAGTATTTGTCTTTGCTGCAGAAAATCCAAGTAGGAGTAGTAATTATTAATTAAAAGAAAAGCTCTTGGCAATCACGAGAGTCCAAGGCAAAAGAATGTCACCACCGCCAAGTAGTACTGCTACAGAAAGCTACTTGACGCGTCTGGTGACAAAAGTTACTACGGCTACTTAGTGTTGGATTCATGTTCAGAGGATTTGAAAGCCCATTAGATGCCTCCACGTCCTCTTCCCAGGAGTTTGATGATCTGCAGAAAAAGGGTAAAAGATTCATCATAGGGACCCAAGTAAAAGATTCATGTGGTATGATGTGTTAAATGAGCAAATTTTCTTGTTGCTCGTAGCATTCCTTCTTTTTCAACATCGTGCTCTTGTATTGGGGTGTGAAGCTATTTGAGAGAGAGTATGCAAACGTAACCAAATCCATTGCAAAAGAGCTACACAGACAGCAGAATTTGAAGCATGCAACAAGGGAACTCGCAGACGGTGCTATCCGAGAGTGTGCAATGGGTAGACAAACTTGAGTCTGCAGCTTGCCTGCAATCAGAAGTGTCAAAATGGGAGATTTGGACGGGTTGAAATGGGTAGTGGATATAAGTGAATCAATTTATTTATACTCATTTAATTAGATTACCCATTTATAATCCATTCATTTTAACTTTTTGTAAACTCATTCAAATTCATTTTTGTGAACTAAATTATTAATTTATACCACCCTTTATACCTATCATTAGTTTTAAATATTTGCTTATAATGTTCAGTAAACCTAATTATCAATTTTTTTTTCATCCATCCTCCATGTCGCAAGTTAACAAACTACGAGAAAATGAGCACGTTAACAAGCTACAAGAAACTAAAATGATAAGATAAAACTAACAAAATAATAATATTAAATGAAACAAAAGTAGTCAACATAATGACGAAATGAAGAATCTGAAAAAAAAATCAAGTAGGGTATCTATCTGCGTCAAAAATGCATCAAATATTTGCTAATATTTAAAAATAAAACATTCCACTATATACAAGGTTTCAACAATATTAACACATGAAAGTCTCTAACAACGAGTTCAATAATCAAATGCGGGTCTCAAATTTCTTCTACATCGGTGGGCGAAGAGAGGAGGTTTGGAAAAAAAAAAATTTAAAATAGGTTAATTGAGTAATCCATTTACACTCATATATAAAAACTTAAAACACCCATATCTTCCGCTGAATATGAATAAATTTAATTAAATGGATTTATTTACCACCTATACCTGCAGTGTGCATAACTCGAAGCTAGTGCATTTAGGAGTAAAACTTCGAAACCTCTGGATTTTTTCAGGAGTCTGGACTCTGAGTTGTTGGTGCTGATTATTGATTACGATCCATTCCAAGAAGCAATCAAATGTATAGCCCTTTCTTATACGCTTCAGTATTTACCGGCCCTAACTGACCCATGATGTATTCATATCCAAAGCCCATATACATCTAACATCATAATGAACCATGCAGCTGCCCCCCTCCCAGCCTATTCTGAGTTATATGACTACTTAGTTGACTACTACACAACTTGCTGTTTAATCCATAATTAACAAAAAAAAAAAAAAATACTAGTTATCTCAACTCCTCTCCTCCCGTTCAACCCAAAAAAAAATAAAAATCTTTTTTTTTTTAATATTTAATGGAAATGAAAACCTCGAATCGGAACATCTCATTTACACTCCCTCTCTTAATACCACTCAATCTATCCCTCCCTCTGATTGCAAATTCAGAGGAGTCTGTAGTCTATTAACAAAAATAAAAGAAAAATAAAGAAAATAGATGAATATTTTTTGGGTGTGTGTGTGTGTTAACTTCCCAACCCACCAAATACTACAAACAAAGGTAATGATGCTTTTCATAAATAAATAAATAATTCAAAATTGGAAAGGCAGAAAGCCCAACTTAAGTACTTTTGGTCTTCTTGATTATCAAATACTAAACCCTATCAGTAGTAGGTAAACCAATTCCCCACTTGAAAAGATTTGTGCCAGCTTCTGTATTTGCACATCTCTACTAGCTACTACAAGAAAAGTGAACGCACGCCACCAAAAGTTGAAAGCGAAGGCAAAAACATGTACTCTACTACTACTAGCTACTAGTAATTAATTACTTTATATGTATTCTTCTTTGAAAATGCTCATTAAGGGCTGCTTTTGTTATATCAAATTACCACTACGTACTTAATTTGGGGTAACTACTTTATCTTTATCGCGTCACTTCAATGAAAAAGAAAAGGTACTAGAGGTAACTACCATTGTCCAAAAGAGTAGCAAACTAGGCTGTAGTCTAAAAGAAAAGACTACGTATACTTCTTTCCAAAATCATCAAATTACATATGCTCTTTTTTGCTTTCTTTTTTTTTTTCTGAAACACGATAGACCTACACTTACTCGGAGAGGATTGAACCACCACTGGATCAGACAGGTGTCTACGCACCCACTGACGATATTTCTAAGAAAACTTGGATTTTTAGAATGTAGACAAGGGGATTTGATCTCTTGACCTACACTCAAGTAGAGCAGTTAATTATTAAATTACATATGCTTAACCTGCATCAAGTGGCCGTTTGGGTCCAAAGTAAAGGTCATGAAGTTCAAGAAATTTCAACTTTTTAGTTGCAATTAACACTATCGTATCGATCGAGTGGTTCTAATATGGATTGACATGAGGTCAAATTGTAATTACAGTAATATGTAATATTTCAATTCATGGCTAATAATTAATTATTTACCACGAATTTTCTCTACCATGCATGCATAGCTTGCATGAGATTTTACGTTGAGCTGATTAATTTATAATCAATATAGTTCCTCCTGTGTTTTCATTACTACTATTTTCTTTCATGCACCAAGTGCTTTAATTAATTAAGCTATATATCAACCGTCCATCCATAGTCCATAAATGGCGTATGTAATCATGTCATTACCTTCTAATTTCTTGTGCTCAATTATATGCAGCATGTACGGGTTGTCTGTCAATTAAAAAGAACTATTACGTACTAATTACTAATCAGCAAAACAGTTGCCTGGTCTTTTATGTTTTTCAGAAAAAAAGTTACTATAATAAAGGTGAACAAAGGAAAATCTACCCCAGTTGGTGGATGCCCATTTGACTCTGGTTATTAGTACTAGTAAAAGTCTTTTAGACTTTGATTTTAAGCCATTTGGATGCACCTGCCTAGTGAAAAGTAGAGGGAAAAAGCCAAAAGGGTTGGTAATTTCATATTCTTAAATATGTGTTTGGATTGTCAAATTATCCACAAGAATCATGCCTTTGAATTTGAATGAATAAAAAGTAAAATTTATTGCTTACGAAAAATTGACAGTACTACTAGCCTTAGCAAATCAGGAGAGAAGAAAGGTAAGTGTAATTTTTAAAATCTGACGAATGCTCATAAACCTTATCCCTAACGTTTATGATAAAAGCACGTTTTATAGTTTTTCCATCAACTACAAGAGTCAAATTAACTAACATCTATTCTACCAAACCAACTTCATCTAGAGGAGTGGCCACCATATTAATTGTGAGGTGGGAGGTCAAGGGTTCAAATCTTGTCTCCCATCAATATGCCTCAATATGAGATTTGTTCTAAATTCATACGAGTGCACCGCACTCGTCAGTTGAGCCACCAAATAGAGTAGGATAATGGTTACGTCAAAAAAAAAAAATCTATTCTACCATAAGATAAGGATAATGGTTACCAATCTGGGGTAAGTCTAAGCAGTTGATAATTGTACGCCTCTAACTTAGTGGCAGAACTACTACTAGGAGTAGTACAATGAATGCAAATTTCGCAAGTCTCTGGAGTTTCTTTAAATGGAATTTTTGGGGACTTACCCTTTGATCCTTTGACATCGACTTCTTATAACCCAAAATGCACTAATTGGTTGTATTGATGGTGCCATGCACGATGCTTCCAATTCCATATCAACTACTCCATCTTCAAAATCAGGACCATTCAGGGCTTTATATGTGCTCTCCTGTAGGATAGTAACAAGACTTGCGTAAGCTAATTAACCTCATCTGGGATTTAACTGATCTCGAGCGATCTGAGTTTGGTAAAATCTCATAATCCATAAGGTAGGAAAAAACTGCTGCAATTCTATGCATGTATTTTACTTCACGTATCATCTGAGTCTGACTGATACTGAAGAATTTTTTTTGTCTGTCCCGCAAAATGTATATTGGCCCAGATCAACATTGATGATCATCAGCTTGTGATTTGGTATCAGCTATGAATACTCCTTTCCCGATTCACTAAACA